CACCACCAGCAATCAATAAATCCAAAAGGGGAAATTATACGCATGGCGGATACCATCACTGTGAATGTTGGGTGATGAAGCAAAGAACTCCCCCACAGCCTGAGGAATGAGGCAATTGAGCCTGGGTGTTTCATAGTCACAGAAGCTGTCAAGGTGAAGATTCTGACGTTTGACCCTTTCAGCAGGGAGAAATCCAGGCTTTCTCTGACCTGTTGGAATATGACCGGACGGATACCAATAGATGCCCCCAGAGATATGTGTTAGGTGGTGATGGGCGTGCAGGCAGGTGACTCACCTTGTAAGGGACATACCAAAAGGCACACACACGATACAAGAAATGTTGGATGCAGAAGTAATAAAATACCAGGGCTCAAAGATTGTAAGATAGACAACTGAATCATGTACTGAAGACTACTCTTGAAACTAAATTTGTATTTAATTTCTTCTTTGCAGATGAAAGATTCCTACCTTATTCTGGATGAATATGTGAGTATTTCTAATGAGTTATAAGATGATCACTTAAAACTTAATTAAGCAACAATGGCAGAATTGAGTTATAATGAGCATAACCATGTAGTCCATGTTTGTCCTTCTTAGCTAGCATTCATATTTTTCTTGTCAATTATTAGTATTAATACTATAGAACCCTTTCTTCAGTGTGTCGAAGTGTGAACTATACGGTCTGACAGGCTTTATCTTGGACCTGGGTCTCTGTATGTGCTGATGCTGTGCACTAACGCCATTGCAATATTGTCTCCTATGTGGCTATAGGTCCATGGATGTTACATTGAACTCTGAATATCAGAGTCCTCCGTTAAGTAGTTTGGGGTTGGAGATTCTCCTGCGTTGGAATACTTTCAGAGGAAGGTTATAGCACACATCACATTGATTTAACATCTCCATTCAGTTGCTACTAGGAAGTCCTCTGTTTTCTACTTGCAAATATGAAGAACCCAAGATTATAGAACGACATTTACTTTACAGGAAACAACACTGTCCATTTTAGATGGAAATGAAGTGTGTTTAGTCCACTGTGGCTATTTCTTCAGGCTGCTAACCAAAAGGTCAGCAGTTTGAATGTACCAGCTGCTCCTTAGAAACCCTATGGGGCAGTTCTACTCCGTCCTGTAGGGTCACTGTAAGTCAGAATCAACTCGATGGCAATGGGTTTGGTTTTTGGTTTTTTGGTGACTTATGTAGATACTTAATTCTAAAATATTCCATAGATTATTTTCCATCCTGGGTAATGGCTGTTGCAGAGCCTCCGTAGGCTCAGCTTTGAGCTTTGATGTTGCAGCTTACGGCTGATGTGTCATACTCAGCCATCCATGCGAGTTTGGCTGGGAACAGAAAGCACTTCCAGCCTCACCGACAAGCTCTGGGCCCCTTCACACAGTGCTTCTTCACAAAACGTGGACTCCTGTTGCGCTCTAGTTCTCAGCCCTGACTGCCGCAGGCTTTGCTCTCCTGGACCCTGTTGTCCTTGGACCTTGGTTGGGTCACTCTGTCCCACATCACTGGGCTCCAGGATTTTACATCTTGGAGATAAAGGGTTAAGATATTGGTTTCTTATCTCCCAAGAAGTCCTGAGCACCTTAAGGTGTGCCTTCCTGCATAGACTTCCTTTATAGAACTAAGAGGAACCTTTCATGTGATTCTTATTTTAAACCTACTCTGAGTGATAGGAATTCTCTACTCTTAGAAAAAACTGAAGATACTAACTAACTCTTGTTTAGGGGACTCAGCTTAATCTATGCCATGTTATGCTCCAAATTACAGATCAAAACCTGGAGTCCTGCAAAGTTCCAGAAGTGGTAATAGCATCCCAGGTCACTGAGAACTACCAGAGGCAGAGCAGGGAAGCCTCTGTTGCTGTGTCTTCTAAGATCTCTTTTCTAGTTCTCTTAAAACATAGCACTCCAATAACTTTTTACCGGTAAAAGGCTAGGGTATCTTCCTCCAGCAGGCTATTTATCTTTAATAATCCAGAAACTGCCAAGTCAACTTTTGACTGATCAACCTTTGGTGAGCAGAGATTTACAGGTCCTTTCTAAACTCCACTGGTATATCCATGCCTCCACTGCCTTCCAAAGGAAAAGAAATCGCACACTTCTTCTCCAAATTAAAAAAACAAATCACTTTTCCATTTTCTCCTTTTTTTTCCCCTAGATTCATAAACCTTTCCCAGTGTTGCTAGCAGAGGACAAATAATTCCATTCAAAAATCCATTTTTAAGAAATATAAGCTCCAACAATAGCCATGAGTTCAATATTTAACTTGGATTTAGTTTTTTGAGAAGTGATAATTGTGACTTATTGAATTATAGAAATATAAAAATATCCCTATTTCTATCATGACTTTCTCAGATGCGCTTTCTGAACTGTAGAAATGGACGGAAGGATCCTTCTAAGTCCATCCTGGATGTTGGAGTAGAAGCAGCTATAAAATTCAGTGGATTTGATGAGAAGATGTTCCTAAAGCGAGGAGGAAAATACGTATGGAGCAAAGCAGATCTGAAGCTGGACTGGTAAAGTTGGAAGTGGAAGAGACCACCAGCCCGTCTGGAGGAAATTATTACCCAAGTTCAAAGTGTGGCTGTAGTCCTCAGCAATACTATGTGTTGGCCTTTCTCAGTGGTCAGAAATCTGATTTCCTTTTGCACGTGACATCTGGTTATCTGCGGCAGCTAAACACATAAATAACTTGGATAGTTAAAATCCAGAGAGAATGCAAAAACTTTAACTTGAGTTAATTAGTTTCTTACCTTATTGCTGGTGAAAAAGGACCCCAGTTCTGGGGCTTGATTTACTTAGAAATGGGGAATACAGAAGAACAGTCACAACAACAGAAGCCTAGGTAAGCTATGTATATGCAGCTTTTATAATCCAGTTCAAAGAAATAGGTTTGAACAATATTTGTAGAGTGAGTATTTCATGTGGATTTGATTTTTGTGAGCGATGTACATTAGGACTTCGGGATTTCAGTTTTGAAGTATCGTTTTTCCAGTTTTATTCCTTTAACAGAGTCCGTTCTTTTCTGGTAAATATTATTGAGATGCCAGTTTTCACATCTAGAAAACTTGCAAAATCTCTCCTACATTTGTTTCTTCTTGCTGTGCAATACTATCCTTTTCTGCCTTTATACCGTTGCAGTCTTTGACTTGTAACCCAGCAGTTTAGGAACAATCAGCAGAAGTCTCTGACATTAACAATCTTACCGGTTTCCAATGAGATACATAGGAGGACAGGATAGAGGTCAGGATGCTTTGGCATGGTCCCTGCCCACAGTGACTATCCAAGGAATGCTGGTTATCTAGGTCGCCCCCCTTTCTCTTCAGAGATTCTAACAAAACCATGTTTTACATTCCATGATGAAGTTGACATGGGGTCAGTCCTTGGATTGTTGGGTGAACCTATTACTCAAGCCACATGAGTCTGTCAAAACAAAAACATATGAGTTTATTTGAGTCAATGGTTGCCACCATAACTCTGATAAATGACAGTGTGATGACTTGGCATGTGTTGTTCTAGAAAGCACCAAAGCCATGCTGGGAAAGATTACTGTGGAGCACATAGAATGTAAAGGG